AGAAATATCATTATAGGGTGCGCGCTCAATCCACTCTTGATACAGCTTTGATAATGCATCGTGAACACCCTTCGGGTTCGTGGTCAACGGTGTCATTTCACTGCTTGTCTCGGATCCGGGATTGTGGTATTCTTTCATGATGCGAGGATCCTCGAAATACAAAAACAACCAAAACAAAATAACGCGAACATACGTTCGTTCCGATGTAATGTGCGAGCGTGTATAGTACCCGTGAACGTTTTGCCATTTGTGATAATACACAAACTTATCCAGGGACCTGAAGCGAATGAGTCTTCGAAGAGAATTAATTCTGTTGAAACGCGAAACGTACTGCTCCGTCTTGCACAGAAAATCCGTACCCAGGTCCGGGCTTCGGAGTCTTAAGAGTCCATAGATCTAACACGTATTTCATCGTAAGAAACATCACGTTACATCGATCCCTGGTCCAGTGCTGTAACGTGATAGCCTCCGGGACCTTCGTGAAAGTCGCTAATCGAGTCCCTAGTTCCAAACAGTCTTCCTCAGTACCGTCGCGAAGCGCACTTGACACGGTAGAACACCAAGAAGAGTACGACTCGTAGTTTGTAACTGCTCCAATCAGTAGTCTCTTAATCCCGAGACCGTAAGGTACGAAATTATAGTCAGTCCCGCAAAGTATCATGAACAGTAGCATTTCCATCTTCAAACGCCCGGAGTCCAGTACCTGTTCCTTCATGCGTAGATATACGTAGCGTCCCGAACGGCTTAACCTAGCGAACCGTCCGTAACTACCGAGAGGAACGGTCCCGTTCATATAAGATACACTCAAACCCTTGAGTCCATGAATGAGCCGTTTCTTATCTTTAACAAATCCAGGGTTCGCATCTTTGTCCAGGCTCAAAGTGTCATCGAGACACACGACCTTTCGCTTATTCCGTTTGTTGACAGCTTCGTGTGGCTGAGCCTCGGTATCTTCGTTGTTCGGGTACAACATTTCTAGAATCTGAACAACTCTTTTCGATGACACACTTCCCTTACTCGTGATGATCTTGAGCGTGGATAACCGGTCTTCTGTGCTACCCTCAGAGAACCAATGTAACAACACGCTGTATACGGAACCCCGTATACCGTGCGCGTACATGCCACGAGAAACATCTTCGGTGTCAAAGGAGTGCGCGTTGATAAAGTTCTCGAAATCTAAATGCCGTGTTCGATGAGCGGAGAACATGTATTCATCGTCCCCAGTAATGTCGGATAACACCCTGAATCGGCCTTCGCTCGAAACGAACATGGGGTGAGGACATATCGAGCTGTTCGGACAGCTAAACACTAGTTCTCCGAAGCTCGACATGTGCATGTCACGGTCTATTGGGTAACTTTTGTTATCCATTCGTAATGTCAGACCTCGTCTCCCGCAAGCTGTAAGAACCGCAACTACATCCGAATCTCCTGTGGACACGGTCACCTCGCCTTTCAAGATGTTGGCTAATTCCACCGTGAGCAGGTCGGCTTCGGTGCTGCGACACATTGTACACGCGTTCCGTAATAAGGTAACGCGCGAATCTGCCGGGTCCGCAAATGTAGCCAGGAACACCCCGTTCGTTCCAGCGGGTCTGTCTATTGACCCGTTAGCATACTCGGGGTCTACATCCGAGAGTTCGTTTACGTTCACTGACTCTACGTCACTCTCCGTAGTTTCGATCCGCAGGCATTCCTGTTCCTTTTCTTGGTCCTCTAGATATGTGCGATGGAAGGTAATCAAATTATCGGCTCCGTGACAAGGTTCGTTCTCGTTTTCGATCTGCATCTTAGATCCGACTACGAGAAAGAAATTGTCTTTCATACCCATATCAGCCAGGATGTACATCATCGCGTATTCTATAGCACATAGATTTCGTTTGCAAAAATCTATGTGAGGCGCGTGGACATGTTTAAGGCGCGTATCTCTAACGGATGGCTTGTGGGCTTTAGCTCCGTCTTTCACTAGCACGATCCCGTGTGCGAACTTACTTTCCAAAACGTAGCAACTCGCTAGAGTCCGCGCCATGTTCAATATGGAAACTCTCGGTTCGTTTTCCACAAGGTCGCTTTCTTTGACTCTGTAGATTGTCATAAGATGATCGATGACAATCCAGTCTTGTCTACGGGTAGGTCTATCTACCATCTCAAACGGAGCCAGATGCGGATTCGCGAGCATCGCGTGGATGGCTTTGTGTTTCAATCCCATGTCAGCTCATCCGGGTAAAGTAACAGAACAGTGTATCAAAACCTAGAGTGTACAGAAGAACAAGCTTGAGGATTTAGTGAGAAGAAATGTACTTATATGCAAGGGTCCCCGTGTTCGTTTAATCGAAGTCTATACACACACGCCCCCTTCCTCCGTGACCTCACTTATCCTCTTTCACGCAAGTTCGTGTGACACGAGCTCCGCGTTTCGCCTTCTCTTGATTGAACATGATGTTTCTATAGCATAAGTCGGACTGGTCACCTTGGACATTGCTCACTGTACCATCCGAACGGGAACTCGCTCGAGCGAGACTCGTCTCGATTCGCATATTCACGCACGTAGGTGCCAGACACTCTAATACTTGAGAACAGAAGCAATTCAGCCAAGGGAACTTCTTTCGTAGCGTTTTAGACAGGGTGGGTTTCAAACACTGTCTCATTGTCACTTTATTGGTACCCGGTCTTACTATAACTAGATACGCAGCGGATCGCTCTGCCATACTCGGGTACGTGAGCGAGAACATTACCCACGTGAGCCAGAGCTGCGTGTTGTACCGCCACAACGTGGCTTGGTCTATAATATCGGTATTCTTGGTTTTCAATTCTAACAATGCCACGGTGTTTTGTACAGTATCATGCGCAACTAGATCGACCTCGGTGTAAAATCCCCAATTCGCACCTATGCTCGTGCAGCCTCGCGTGCACTGGTTGTGATACGTGTAACGCCCGGGTTTCCCAAACGCGTCCGGTCTCGGGATTCCAGCGACTTTAAGGCCCGCGCAAATGGGCGTTAGGCGCAAAGCCTTTAGCTGCGTGAGAACCAAGCGAGCTACGGGACCCGCTTCGCTCAAAGCTCTCTTCCCGTTGTACACGCTCTTACACTGTGCGTCTACCAGAGTTCCCAAACTCGCAGACATATTGTTATCGTCCCACGCGCGTCTGCAAGCTTCAGGGGTGAGCGCTTTGTACTTGTGCAATCGCAGTATAGTATCCCTAATCACAGGACCTTTGCTTTCGGGTGCGTTCAAGCTGTCAATGTAATCCGGTATCCATTCCAATGCGCTGTCCGGATTCTCGTTTAAGTCCCGTATGACCTTGGTGTACAAGTCCATCGTTATCATGTTATGCCCCGATACCCGCTTTCTGCAGCATATCACGGTGTCCAACGTTTTCGTGATGCCGCGAACTCGATACCAACGCTCTTCGAGGGTAGATTTCGCGAATAACACTCCGGGAGCATGGCGAAATTCTATCGCGGGTTCCTCAAGCTTCATTGTATTAAACGTTCTAACATTCCCATCTAAGCGTTTGCGCGCAAGTGGAACACGCATTCAGTCTAGACTAGACCGTGAGTAAATACATAATAAACAGAACCTATCAGAGCTCGCCATGAACCGTAAGAAGACCGGACTGAGCGGATTCGATAACCTGGTCTCCTCGGGTAAAGACCTGTTCGCGACTAGATTCTCTCCTCGGGCCTTCCTCAGCACCGCGCGGTTCAGAGGTAAACTGGGAGCCGCGATCGCTGTGATCACTTCTCTCATCGTGGGATTCCTGACTATTCCGAACAACATTTTGTATTTCATCGATGACCAGTATGAGACGAGGACTCGATCCGATGACGATGAATACGATTATGTGTACATACACGCGGGTATAGCTCTCATTACACTGGGTTGTTTGGCGATGGTCGTGAGCATAGTACTTAGTTACTTCGCGGCTAAGAGCAAACGTAAGCTGGACGATTCGGAAGTGTCTTCCTACGGAGGTACCGGTCCTACCAGTACGAAAACGGTGCTCGCATGCTTGATCATGATGAACTTGGAGCTGTTCATGGCCGTGATCGCGGGCTGTATGGAGTTGCTATACAGACCCATGATGAGCGATGCTCGGAGGATGCACAATGTAGAATGTGCGATTGCTGTGTTCAACATCATAATCTACATAATGTACGTGATATCTATGGTGATGACTTCGTTCATTCTCAAGGGGAAAAACGAAAAGTCTGGCCTTGACGCACAGAGAGATGCGAGAGACGCGCATGAGCTCGGTCAGGCTCGGGAGTATATGAACAGAGTGAACAATTTCAACTCTCACGCGCTCGGCTTGACCGGGTTCGTGTGAAGGAATCACATAAACAGTACGTGCCTCTACATCTGCACAGGAACGTGGATCTTCTAAAGGTCTCTTACATGTTTAATCAATATGTACCACAGTACACTTCATATACGTAAGGGATACACGGACGCGTGTTATGTTTAATTGGTCTTTACTGTGATGTACAAACTATAAACGTATCACACCACTCCCATCGGGGTTCATTATACTTGAAGCAGCTACGCTGGTCCCGCTTCATCACCTGGCTGCCAAGAAGTTTTTTAATCGCTCGAAAGTTTTTTAATCAGTGTGTCTGATCACACAATCCTCTCCTGATAAGCAAGATTGGTTCCTAACCTGCATCCAGGTTACATAGAAATGTCTGTATTACGCTTTAAACGGAATTGCTTTGCTACTATCAAAGGATGTGTTTAGCGGCTCCGATCCGCTATTCCTTTGGTGATCAATCACATGTGTATCTACGTTATATCAGAGAGGGACAGTGTTTCATCGCCCTCTTGTTACACTGACAGAGTTCGATATGTGTATAGATGTCCTACCCGGATAATAGCAACGATACAGAGAGCATGTGTATGTGATTGTAACCCTTGTGTTTGTTTCATAACTTGTGTTATCATTGTTTCAGTAAACGAAAGCGCTGTAACATCGTGTATCAATAAAAACGTGTGCTCACATGATCATGTATACATGACTTTCTTTATTGTGAATCAGGCAGGTTACACCACATGCACCAAGTAAAACATACGGTTGACATTTACTGTTAGGTTACAACAAGGCGCATATTACAGTTAGAACAGCAGTGAACTTCATCCTTGCAGCTCTTCAGTACGAGGGGACACAAGCAGCACCCTAGAATACACCTAGGGAGACAAATACATAAGCGTAAGTGTCTACATAAGGTATTACTGTTTATCTGCGAATACAATGCATCGGGCTTACCCTGCAAGTGACAGCAATCCAACGAAAGAAATTGCGAACCATCCGATACGGTAGGTAATCACAGGAGAATCATACGTGTAGCATCTAGGACAGAGGACTGATATACACAAAGACATGTTAAACGTAATACGAACTGACATTATGCAAAGAAAGTTGCACTGATCGAAATGTAGTAGACTGTATAAAACTTTGTCAGAGAGCTACCATAGTTTAACATCCTCCCTTACCGTAATCAGTATTAGAAATACGTCTTTCTGGTGAGGGTCCTCCGCTCATGTGCAAGGATTCCGAATCTACAATCGATAAGGAATAAGCCCCAGAATCAGAATCTGTCATTGTAAAGCACCTTAAACTAAAATACAGCGTTCCCGAATCGCATAGAGTAAGATAGCAAGCTCCTCAATCCGGGATGGTGATGTGTGCTATGTGTCTAAGACCATAGCCCCTAGCAAAAGACCCCTCCTCCCTATATTCCACAGAGAGAAGAAGAGCATGTGCTAACCCAGACATAAGGACAGCTGTAGCCAAAAACTAACTTTCCTTACAGACACACTCTTGTACATAATATCCAAAATATAATTATATGCACCAATGAACTTGATATGTGATACAATAAACACTTCAGCGACTGAGTAGTCTCCAATGTAGCGCATCATAATAAGCGCAGAGTGTCCATATGCAAATCGCCTTGTTAACAGCGCTGTTATCGAACAAAGACACGTACTCGGAGTCTAAACAATTATCAATAACGCAACAACACATGGATACAGCATTATCCGAGATAATTATAATAGAACTAGCGTATTACCCCCGCGGGAATCGTAAAGATGCGGTGGCTGTAATACCTAAATGTGTAATATTCACAGTGATGCGTCTGGACATCCAAGGTGTGCAGGCCAGTAAATTACAATGGCAGATATGCAGACAGCACAACCGTGGTACGACTGTATACTTTTAGAAGACAGAGAGTTCACCGAGCATGAGCTCGCGCAATTGAAGCGCGTTAATTTAATGTGCAGGAACATAAAACGCGGTTCAGTGATAGGATCGCACGACACTGTTCTCTCTAGGCCTATCTCTGTACAATGTACACATTACCATCCCGTTCAAGCAGTACTCGCACTGTTTGCTCAGCATGTAGACCGGACATTGAAAGGTGACTATCCTGCGAGACACGTTGAGCGCGCATAGGTTCGTGCGTCTAACAGTATCGATGGCACGTAAGCTCAGTCACGGAATACTCTGCTAACACACATCACCAGCGTGTGAACATGTACTGTGGTGTGTATTGAGAAGACGGTGTTGTGAACATGTTAAGAGCGCTCGAGTTGGCTCATTTCGTATCCACTGGAACATTTTTCGGTGTAATAGCTACGCTCCCATATGCTGCCTGGGAGCCCATGTAGTTACAAACTCATTCCCATTCGAGAATAATAATGGGCTCCATCTGCGGATGGATTAGCTGAGGGGTATAATGGGTCCCTCTGGGAGTAGACACCCGTGAATAGCGTATGTTCCATTTATGTATTATCTCGCTCGGCTATGGTCCAATGCGATCATTTTGTGAATTACATGGAAGCATTCTATTACCCGAGCGTAATATCCCGAGTGGTATGATTATCACAGTCTTTCATGTTAAATGAGATGACACATGGTTAATGTATTCCCAGCTGACAGGAGGCACATTTGAAAAACCTCCGGACACCAGTGAACGAGCGCCTCAGCGAAACCCTGACTCCTCGCACAACCCCGGATCAGTGAACGAGCGCCTCAGCGAAACCCCTGACTCCTCGCACTAGCAAAAACCCCGGATCAGTGAACGAGCGCCTCAGCGAAACCCCTGACTCCTCGCACAACCCCGGATCAGTGAACGAGCGCCTCAGCGAAACCCCTGACACCTCGCACTTGCAAAACCCCGGATCAGTAACGAGCGCTCAGTGAAAACCCTGACTCCTCGCACAACCCCGGATCAGTGAACGAGCGCCTCAGCGAAACCCCTGACTCCTCGCACAACCCCGGATCAGTGAACGAGCGCCTCAGCGAAACCCCTGACTCCTCGCACAACCCCGGATCAGTAACGAGCGCTCAGCGAAAACCCTGACTCCTCGCACTCGCAAAAACCACGGATCGGTGAACGAGCAGCTCAGAAGTTCCTGACATCTTCGAGAAGGAAAGAAATAACCTCAAGATGAGCAACATTAACTCCTCAGATATAACACGATATCGCTTCTAAGTCAATCGCCCGAACATACACTTCAAACCGTACACCTGTAATACCATGTATACCCACAATAAGCGTGAACAACGAACCGTAATTCTGAGACCCTCGCTAGCCCGGATAGATCGCAAGTCAAAATCACTCTCTCGTAACCGAGTGGTACTTCTTCCACGCAAACGGACCGATGTGACACGCGAACCTACGGAAGGTTCGATCCGCAGTACCGTGAACGGGAACGAGTTTCAGACACGGTACAAAGCTTGGTTGGCAAAAGCACCCGAAGAAGAAAGCAAGTACAGAGGGTGGCTCGCGAAAGCTCCCGATCGGTGTACAGGGAGTGGAACCGCACGCGATGAATACAAACTCGTCTCACATGAATCCGTGGAGGAGGTGTTCCGTCATGTATTCGACGCATGGTACACGGACCGTCCTCATCCTCCAGAGTACGTGTACAAAACACGGTTGTCAGAGTGGATAGCCAGAGCTCCCTCCGATAAACCTTTCTATCATAAGTGGCTGAAAACGGCTCCGTGGTTTGCCAGCGACTACAGGAGGGAACAGAGTGTCGGAATGTGTTACATACCAAACGCTCCCGTCTCCGACATGATTGAACGTCGGGACGGTGAATACGGATTGTCTACTTCGCAACTGTATCATAAGAGATACCTCGAGTGGGTTTCCAAGGTGTCCGCGTTCAACATCATGTACCCAGTGGATCAAAGTGCACGTGATGCAGAACGTAAGCGCCACAGCGAGTGGCAAGATCGAGCCCGAAGAG